TTATAATTAGGTTATTTTTGTAAAGCTATATATAAGTATACTGCTGTAAGTTGAGTTCTTGTGAAAGAGTTTAGAAAAGAGAAGTGGTAAGGATGTTAATTTCTTGTAAGATAAGTTTATTGTTTTGTGATAAGATAAAGATTTCATATATCATAATAAATAGATGATATTTTTGATTGCTGAATGAATTAGTTTAAATCTATAATATTGAGGCCACTATACTTGTAAACTCTAACCAACAGAATTCTTGAAAGGGCAAATCAGCTAAACAGTCTAAGCATCTAATTAGAGTGTTGTTAAGATTTATTATAAAGTGTTTCTTCTTGAATAATGTATTTTCTTATATTGCTTGATATCTTTTGTGTGTTTTGACTATTATGTTGGTATTAGGAATAAACCAAAATGTTAACTTGGAATTTGGTATTGGACTATAAGATTCTTTTAGATTTCTGGTATTTGTGAATTTTTTGAACCCATTAGGTTCTAGGCCAGAACAAATTATACCTGTATGGATAGCAAACTGTGGCTATATGAGTTTGATAGAACTTTATAAAAAGATCTTATTTGTCTGTCCTTTTACTATTAAATTTGGAAAGACAAATATTTAATTATCTTTTAAAAAATTTATACTAAAAATGACTTATAAAGAAAATAAAATTTATGTAACTTTCTTTTTAAGAAATCTTTGTAAAGACTATAATATCCACAATTGTAAAAAAATATAATTATAAAAATATTTTGAATACACATAAAAGAAAATTTCAAAAAATCAATGGTAAACAGATAAGAGTTTTTTTTTTTTTTATAAGTAATTTTTTTATTATTTTAAAATTTGAATTTTTTATAAATGGTTTTAAAATTAAAATAATTAAAGCAAATTTTAATAAATTATTTGTATTAATATTAATATTATTGATATTATTATAATTTATCAAATTATTTTTTTTTTTTTATTTTTTTTTTAGAGGCAAAGTGCATTACATGCGAACTTTATTAACTTAGCATTGAAGTTACAATCATTACATGAAGAGTCTGACTAACTATTAATTTATCAAATTATTATTTTTATTATATAAATATTATATATTATTAAAAAAAAAACAATATTAATAAAAGTAATAAAATAATAAAATAATATATTATAAATACATATACTGTATATTAAAAAAATTTTTTTATTAATATAAAACTTAATAAATAAAAGATTAAAAAAAAACAATTATTAAATTTTTTTAATTTGATTTTTTATATATAAATAATTATTTTGAAGGCAGATTAAATTTTTTTTTTTTTTTTAATTTATCACCTTCATAATTGGTTGACCGGCTTCCAATTCATGTTGTACCCAATCAGCCGCAAATCATCTTCCAAAATTAGTTAGGCTGCATAAAGATGAGACCTCTGGTCTTCCCAATAATCGCGAGTTGAAAACAGATCGAAGCAAGGAAGGTTGCACGAGAAAAGGTTTCTGGTCTAACTCTGGTATAAGCTCATAACTCTAATCAAAACTGGCGACGGCAGACTCCGTCACACAAAGAATATCCTAGCCTGGGGCTATCCCAATCCAGCGCTTACTTAAAAGAAGGTTATATCTTGAAAAAAGGTACTTGGTATAATCGGAAGCCGCAGGTGGTAACAAAGAGTGATTTACCTTCTCCAAGGTTCTGGGTAAAAAATATATACAGGGATATCTGGATGTTCTACAACCATACCCCTGAAAGGTAATAACTGTGCCTCTCCCATGACGGATGCAATCGAGACAGGATCTAGATTAGGTTAGATAGTTTATAAACTAGCGGTAGGATTTTCTATCCCCTAAAGATCCCACCTAGGATATGGATCCACTTTCAAGGTGTTCAATTGGTATAACTGGGTAAGTCTATAGTTGTAGAAGTGAGGTTAACTTAAATGGACCTTAGTATATCTGTAATTGAATATAAACTACTCAATAAAATGCATATGCATAAAGTATCTTTCACCTGAAAAAAAAAAACATTTTTTTTTTTTTTTAACCTGCAATCAAACTGATGTTGTATATTTATTAAATCATAGAGAACTATTATATGCACGAGAATACATGCAAAGTATAAATTTTCTTGACCCAACTTACCCATCTTAAGCCTAAGCCTCTAAATGCTATTTATGGGAGTGATACGTTGCTAACCTGATGGTTAGGATTAAGATCCAATTGTACCATGAGGATTACAGCCTGCAGATCATTTCTACAGTCACGACTATAAATCCAAATTGTGTTGTCCCTCTTTTGCAGAAACTACGCAAGGGACAAGAAATAAAAAAAAGAATAAGGGTAGAAAAAACAGCACAAATGTGCACAAATAAAACAATATATAAAAAAAATAAAAACTATTATCTATTCTATCTATCATTGAAATGGTATTTCAGTGAACAAAATCCAGATCCCTCATGAATACTCACTTGTCATCACCTGTGGTCAATTAAACTGTTTAATTTTCATCAAAGTGGGTGATATTCAAGAATGTTTAAAGGTACTTCCTGAAGAGTATTTCTTGAAATTTTATGTTTGAAGACCTCTGACCAGAAAGAATGTTGGTTTTCTATTGTTGATTTCTTTCCCAAGCCATGTCTTTTTGGAATTACTGCTTCATTCAACCAGTGGATAGTTTCAAGACTCCTTTCTCTAACCATTTTTAGGATAGACATCAATGCTTCAACTTGTTACCAGATTGGGATAGAATTTGAATCTTATGATTACTCCCAGTCCTCTAGATAGAATAGGGAAAGAAAAAGAGCAAATAAAAGAAAAAACAAAAAAGAGGATTGTTCCTCCTCCACTCATAACTTCAACCTTCACTTAGAACTCTCTTGCTACTTCTTCGACTAGAAAATCATTCAACTCTTTCCAGAACCAATCACATCATCGATTTTGATATTATACGACTTGGAACACGTGGGAGAACGTATCTTGTTTACTTTTTCTATGGCTGACATGATTAACCAATCCATTACTTTGACTAATCATCTTGCAGAAAAGTCCGATGTAATCAAAAATTCAGGGTCAAACTAAGGTAGGCAAAATTCCCTAGAAAAATCAAAAAAAAGGAAACACGTTTGAGAGAAAAGAAGTGGAAAGTTAGAGAGATGATATAAAGACTGGAAGCTTCTTTTTCTTTATTTCTCTAGGCTTTTGAACCTTCTGGGGGTCTTTGGAGGGTACTTTTTCTTGTCAGTTTTTTTTCTAGAAAGGTGTTCTTGCCATAAACCTTTTGGGTATGTTTCTTGTATTTAGTCGCAAAAATATGCAAGGTGTTTAAAAAAGAAAAAAAAAACAAGTGGTGGCTGCTGCTCGCTCTGCTGATTAGGAAACCAGTGTTGTTAAGGAAAGTGTATAGACTTTATTATCAAAAAAATATAAAATCTTTTGAGAACGTCTGTTTTTTGGATTGGTAAATAGATTAGCAGAAAGAGTTTTGACAGATTAAAAATTTTTTAATTAATTCTAAAATTTATATTATATATATATTATTTAAAAGTTGGATTCAAAAAATTTATATCTAGTATTTTTATTGTTTTTTTTAAAAAAAAGAGTAAATAACTATCATACTTTATTTTATTTATTATATTTTCACTTGCAAAACAAGGTACAATATCAATAGCATAATATACGTTTCTCTTTACTAGAAAGAGTTTAATGTAAGGCTCCAAAATGGACCCAATTCTTGTGTTCTTTTGATACCATTCAAGAAATACAGAAAAAAAGAAATTCAAAAATCTATATTATTGCCTTGAATGGCATTTAGCTACTTAGAAGAAAATGAATACCTAATTATATAAAGGTGTTGCAACCAATCTATATAGGTTGGCCTTCAAGTCATAATTAGGATTAACACATCTGCTTTCCAAATATGTTTTGATATATAGTAAGTAGAATAGTATTTTTATTGTTTTCAAAAATAATTATTTACAGTATATTAATTAAAAAATTAAGTTTTTTTTTTAAAAAATTTTTAAATTAGTTTATTTAAATAAAATTAAATAATTATTTAATAATTTTATATAAATTAAACTAAATTTAATTTAAATATAATTTAAATTTAATTAAAATTAAATAAAAACTATAATTTTTATTAATTAAAAAAGTTGAGTTATTTGAAAATAAGAATTAAAAATAATATATATATATATATGTACAGTATGCATATTATAAATATATAAACCTATATTTAATAATTTTTTTAAAATAAAAAGTCTAAATTAATTTATATTAAAATATTATTTTTTTATGATTTATATATACTTAATTTTATAATATATTGTAATTCAAAATTATATTATATAAAATTATAACTATAGAAAAATTTTATTTTTTTAATAAATTAATTGATTTTTAATATTATAATTTTTGTTAACTTATTTATTATAATTGTAGTATTAATATTTTTATACTAGTTAATTATTACTTATTTAACTTATTAATATATTTAACTATATAATTTATGTATATCAAATAGACAGGTTATATATTGGATAAAATTTATATTATAAATTTAAATAATTCAATTTATAAGTTTAATTTTATCTATATTGTTATGAAAAAGTTTGTAGAATATTTTTTTAAATAATTAATTCAAAAAAATTTTTAATATTTATTTGAAGTTTAAATTGTTGTTTTATTTTTCAATATCTAATTTTTTTAATATTATTCTTAAAAGATTTCAAGAATTTCAAAGATCTTTGTACATTTTACTTTTATTTTTAAGAATTTATCTATTTATCCATAACAATAAAATAAAATTATAAATAATAAAAAAATCAAAAAAAAAATATTAATATTATCTATATTATACAAGAAAAAAGAAAACAATTCAGCAAAATATTCAAATTATACATTTTAAACAATAAATTGTAAAAAATCACAAGAAAAATTTCTAATAAAAATGATTATTAGAGTACAGTATCAACAAAAAATGTATAATGCAATAAATTCTGTTTGCTGCTACATAAACGCGGTTATAGTCGATTTATTTCAGGGGCGTGGGAATAAATTGAACATGTTGCTCGTAGAATTCGATAATCTATTTAAATATTAAATATACATATTGCATATGAAAAGCATACATTCAATTTTTTAAAAAACTAATGTACAACGTACTTTCTGGGGGCATTTTAAATTCGCGACAGAAGAATCGTGTGCGGTTTTTTGACCATTTTTCCTAAAAAAGTTTGGTTCGTGAATATAGTAAGATTGAGATGTAAAAACTAAACAGCGTAAATCCAAAAGATTGGTTTTTCAAAATTACCAAGTCAAAAATACCACCAAACAATCCGTATTTTCTTCACGTTCTACATAATCTACACTTTCCACGTACTTTTCCCAGGTAACTTCCTCCATGGCAGCAATTTTCTTGATCTCGATGTCGGATCTACTGTTTTGCAAAGTACTACGAAACCTCATCAAATAACCATCATCATCAATATGGTTTCTGGAAACGAAATTGTCCTTATTTCTGTTTGTTCTTCTTCGCCTCTTAATATCGTTTGCATTTTTGACACCGGCAGAAGTATGACCTTCACCGAGTATACCAACAAGTTGATCATTTTGCGCGTAATCATCTACCTGACTTTCACACTCACCATCATCGTTAATACTATTCGTGGAGATATTGTTATCATCGCTATCTTGACAACTGGAGTGATTTCTGAAGCATTCGGAAATAAAGGCGTCTTCAGAATCGCTATAAGAGTAAGCATTTTCGCCGCCGCTCATGACGTGTTGATTGAATCTGCTGGGTCCTGCCAATGGTGAGATACATCCAATATCATAAGCCATGCCATTATTTTTGTCCCAGTATTCTTGAATCATTTCTAATGCAAAACTAAATTCGAGATATTTCCCATATTAAAATATGCCAAATGTAATTGGGAGAATGATTTCATGATACATACATGTTCGTCTCGTTTTCCCAAGAACAATCATCATCAGGATAGCCTTTCCATTTAAGGAAATATTGATACTCTCCCTATCAAAAAGAAAAGACGCGTTTACATGATTTTATCAAAAGAGTAACATTCCAAGGAAAGTCGTCAAAATTTTTTTTACATTTTCTCCAATCCTGTGGTCAATGATCCTTTCGACGACATATTCATATTCTTCCAACAAATCCGTTCCATCGGCTAACTCTGTTATCTCTTGAGAAAGAATGTTGTCATCACTATTTGTTGATGTTTGTGATGGTGTTGCTTTTTCTGAAATCTTGCTATCAAGTTCTTCCATGTGATTCATTTACAAAAATTGCGAACGACTAGAAAACGTAAAAAAGAAGGTTAAACAAGGATTTTAAAAGTAATTTGTAATGATGCGTGGTTGAGAAAAGCTTCGGATGCGTGAATTACGAGAATTTTCATGCGTTTTGATTTTAGTTACATTAAAACAATGACGAAGACCACAAATTAGAATAAATCATCACAATAATTATTGATTGAACAATAAGCTATGTTTTAAGCGGTGTTATAATTACACGAGCATATTTGAATTTTTTAAAATCGGATTTATAAAATCCCCTGGAAGGAAGGAAATATAATAGATTATGTGAATTGCGATATTTTAAATAACTTAATATTCAATAAAACTGCACGCCTTTCATTTAAACTTATTATTAAAAAAACACATTTAATAAAATTAATGTGTATTGTTAAAAATTTTTAAATAAATTTTTATATAAATAATACTTGGTGTATACAAATATATTATTGTTTTTTTTATATTGATATATAATTATTTATTGTAATTTTAATTTTAATTAAAAAAAAATTTTAAAAATAATAAATTTTTTAGATTTTAAAATAAACGAATAATAAAATAATAAAATAATTATTTAAAAATGTGCTGCAGATATTGTAAACTTTATTATTATTTTTAGTTAAATTAATTTTTTTTATATTTTCATATTACTAGAATTTCGATTATGTTGCTTTTATTTTTTTAAATCTTATTTTGAAATAGCAAAGAATGTTTTTAAATTTATTTTATTCTTACAAGGTTTAGTTTCATGGGTAGGCTGATTTTGACTGATGTCATCGAATTTTTTTGGGGGATCGTCGTAACACTGATAAATGCGCAAAATTTCATCCTTCAAAAAAGCACACACAATGGAATTTTCGTTTGTATTCTCAACTTTATTAGTCACCTTGTTTCTAAACACCATCATAGTATACTGCATAATCAAATACAGTAAAGAGTCGAATCTTAATTCAGACGTGATGCGAGAAAGAAAGATACTGCTGTTAATCGCTCATCCGGACGATGAATGTATGTTTTTTGGACCAAGTTTGTTAGAGTTGGTGCCGAAGAATAAGATCCATGTGTTGTGTCTGTCGATCGGTGAGTTTGAGATTCTTTAGAAACTATCACATGGATAGCAAATCTAAAATATTACAAGTATCGACGAATGTTAACATTGACTTTGGATAATGCAGGAAACGAATCAGGATTGGGCGAGATTCGAAGGAAAGAACTTGAGGCTAGTTGCGTTACACTTGGGATCGATGTCGAAAATGTTTCTAGCTTGGATCATCAGTAAGCCCTCAAATTTGATCTAACTTCTCGATGTACATTAATGTCTTATTCACTATTGTGTGGAAAAAGGTCATTACAAGATGGACCGAATAACTCTTGGGATTCGAACGTGATATCCACAATTTTGGATGATTATGTGAATAAGAACGATATTAATATGGTAGCCGAGAGATTGAGTTTTAAAAAACCTTGAGAATCTTTTTAACAAATTCTCTAATGACGCGCCCTAATCATCCCCTCCGTATATTAGATAATAACTTTTGATGATAAAGGAATCTCGGGGCATTCGAATCATATATCTACCTTCTTT